TGATTTTAAAATTATTATCATTTAGTTAAAATTATTTATGTGATACTAATGTTAAAAATAATATTAATTTTTACATTTTTTTTAATAAAAATTTATTATAAAAATATACAATTACTATATTTTTAAGAGCCCATATTAAGATTTTTTTAATTGTTACTTAACAGCAATTATCTGTTGCCAACGAAGCCCCTAATATTTTTAGGAATCCCTACACTCAGTTTATTTATTTATTTATTTTGAGAAAAGGCAATTGTTTTCATTTTTCATTCGCGTAAAAACAATAGTACAGATAGGAGAATCTTGACCCAAAATATTCTACAGCTCAGTAATTAGGACAATTATCTCTTAACGAAGAACAAGAGACCCAATTAGCTGCCCCGCACTCAGGAAGAAGGACAATTATCTTCTCAAAGAAGAACAAGAGACCCAATTAGCTGCCTCATTAACTAATTGTGAAATATGACGAATATGGTACCTTGGAAATCTACCAAGTGTATTGCGGATATCAGCTACACCAAATGAGATTTCCCATGCAGTACTAGATGAGTTACAAGCAGCAGTTACAAGCATCAAACTACCAGTTTCAAACTCTGCCTCGGTAACACCAAGAGAGCAGAGAAAAAATAACCTTTATTAGATGTTTGAGTTGGGAATTGTACCCTTCTATTCTCTTCTCTTTTCTTCTTTTTTTTCTTCTTCTTCTTCTTCTTCTTTTTAATAAATTAATTAATTAAACAAATAAAAAAAAAAAAGGAAATTCTTCCCCTATCCTCTCCTTCAAAATTTTTGATAATTAAATAAAGATTTTTTTTTTCCTTCCCTTCCATTTTCCTCAGCGTCAGCTCAATCATACCGTTAGAGGCAAATCTCCTCAACGCAATCACGCTAGATAGCTACAATAGCACCTATGCCTCTATTAGCAACGAAAGCAGCATCAGAATTGAATTTCAAAATACCTGAAGAGGAGGCATCGCCTTAGTGTATATTTCGTACAATTTGTTAGAGTTTTTATTTTTTTATGTTTTATATTACTTATAAATAATAAATTTAAATTTTTATTAAAAAAAATTTTAAAAGTTATTTTTAGAAATTAAAAAAAAAATAAAATTTATGAAAAACTTAAATTTAAAGTTTTTGATCTTTTATTATTTAAAATTTTTTTAAAATTAAAAAAAAAATTTAAAAATATAAATTTTTTTAAAATTTTAAATTTATAAAGTATAAATAATATCAAAAAAATTAAAATATTTAGAAAGTTGCACCAAACGGAATTTAATTGAGGACAATTGATTCATATGAATACGTCGATAAATTTTTTTATTTTTTTGAATCATACGTACGAATACGTGATGGAGGGGGCAAAACATCCAAATGAGTCGCTCAGTTAGTTTATTGGGATTTACCCTTAAGACCATGAGGTTAGGTTTTATATTTATTACATTTAAATTGCAATGTAATTGTATCCTGTAGAACAAAAAAATTAAATTCTTTTAATTGTTAATAAAAAAATAATTATTCATCAATTTTTAATCTCGATATGCACGTCATTTCTTTGGCTATTAGAAAACAACAATTAAAAAAATAAAGTGGAATTAAAAACTTCTAAATTTTAAGGTTTGTTTGGTTTGATTGACAAAATAAATTATTTTGCTCTCTTTTATCCCAAACTAAATTCTTAAGGACAATAATTTGTATATTTTTTTATTCAATATATTTCACAATACACTTAATATTTATTAAGAAATTATTATTTTTAAAGTTAAATTAAAGGTAAAAAAATTTAAAATTATAAAATTTAATAATTAAACCAGTGAATAGTGAAGAATATGTTAACAGAAAATTATACCAACCATTTTCCAACTCTCAAAGTTCTAAATTAGTTTAGCATTATGTTAATTTTCTATTTATAATGTAATTTTTCTAATACAAAAATATTTGGGTGATATGGGAATTTTAGAAATGCAAAGGCAAAGATGAGCCAACAATTCGAAGTTTCGAACCTGAGCAAAAATGATTAATTTATACGGTGATTTATGGATCTGGGTTAGTTATGGTCTTTGCTTTTGTAATAGTATATCTAAATGCAAGCTCTACCTCCGACTTTTGTTGTAATTCTTTTTTTTTTTCCCCTTTTTTCCAATAAACTTGTGTTGTAATGCAATGTGCTCAATTTTAATGTTGGGTACTTATAACTTGTGCTTTAAAAAGCACATATTAAGAATATTTTTTTAATATTAATTATTATTAAA